ACTACTACCACGACACACACTCCCACCCCCCACCCCCCCGCCCCCCTCCCTCTTCTTCCTAGTCCCTTTCTCTTCCCCTTTCTCCTCCCCTGCGTCTGCTTCACTTCCGTCCTCCTCCTCCCCTCCCCTTCTCACCACGACAGGAGAAATTCCGAACGATCGCATCTGAGACAAGGAGTCAATAGCAGGACGTAGTCGCATGCTCACCGCACCCATCAAACTCTCCGAGCTTCGTCCTGTTCAATCCTCCAACGCGGCGAAGCTCTGCACCCCAAGGCAGAGTTGCCTGCTCGAACCCTGCTCAGCCAAGGCGCAAACTCTGCCTCCGATCTACCTGCGACGGGTCTGCCAGTTTCCCGGTAGACATCTCCATGCAATATCCATTCTGACGTGTGCGGGGAGGGAACATCGGAGTGAAGTCAAGGAGGAGGAGGAGAAGGAGGGAAAAGGAGAAATCCAGGAAGAAGAAACAGAAATGCGGACAAGGCAGAAAAGGAGAGTCAGAAGATAAGGTGGGGGAAAGCGAAGAGAACAAAATCATTACCCCGCTGGCATCGAAGGGGAGTAGTCTGAGAAGGAGCGGGCAGTTGACTCCGATCTTGCGAGAAAAAAGATGAGGAGGAGAACATTTTTGTCGGGCCTGATCACCTCAAAGGAGATGTTGGGAAGTGGGGGCAGAAATTGCACCTGCGAGGGAGGAGAACCAATCAAGACGGGGGAACAGCAGCGGATAGAAAGGAGAGCGCATGTCTTACAACAGGTGCTATCACGTGAATCTGGAAACACAAGCTCTGTGAACCATGTCATGCTCAGTCGCTATAAGTGCATCCTTGCACCGTTGCGGAGTTGTTGCTGTCCGTTGCCTGGAAACAAACTGCAACCCAAGAAAGGTACGTCAGCGCACTGTCTTCTCAAATCAGTTGACTCTGCCTTGATAGCTCAATCCCTCCTGCCCTGCCCTGGGAGTGAACTGAACCCTGTTCGAACATCGCTCACATCTTACAGACTCTGACCAGTCGTTTCTCTCACCTCCTCATCGTGTACCATTGGACAAGCGTCGCGTTCAACGAGTAGTCCATGACGTAGCTGGCCAGGTAAGTCACCTCTGAAATTTGACAGCCGTTGGGCAGCCCCTGCCACGTACATCACTCCAGCAGAAGCAGAACAGGAGCTCTTACCGCCACGTTCAACACTACCATCGAAGTGTTCGACGCAGCTGTTAAGTTGTTTGTTGCTGATACATTGAGGTCCAGCGCCTATCCAACCATGACACGTCAATTGGTCTGAAGACACCTGAGCCTTTACCAGACCTGTCCTACCACGATGCTGTACTCTTTCTTCGCTGCGCAACTCTGATAGCGGCACCTGAAGGCTTTTCAGCTCGTTGAGAGACTTGAGCATAAATGCTCCATACCATGAGCTAGTGTCCGTCCCATCACCGACGAAAAGAACCTTCTGGAAGTTAGAGGTCGAACAATCTAATACGAACGGAGTACATGTGCAATGGCTGGCTGAAGCACCACCAGCAAACAGACAACCCACGCAAACATGGGGTTGAGACGCATGAGAAACGATCCTGATGCTCAACTGTGAGCTGTAAGAGCAAGGTCGCGTCCTTCTGCTCTCCTTGCAGCTCCTCCTGCTTCTTCAAGGCTCCTCCTTGACCCCTCCTCGATCTTCTCACCTCGAATTTCCTGACAGTCACACTGAGACGAGCAAGTTGAGCTATTGACAAGTCTTCATCTCCTGACTTGTAGAGTCAATCAGTCTGAAAGTTTTCCTTCTACGTTCCTTCCCTCTCATCCTCCTCCTCCTTGCTCCCCTCCTGCCCTCCTGCCCTCCTGCCCTCCTGCCCTCCTGCCCTCCTGCCCTCCTGCCCTCCTCATTCGTCCCTTCCCCATATCTTCGTCCTCCCCCTCCTCTTTCTGACCCCTCTACTCCTGCATATCCAACCGTTTGTCAATTTGGCCTGTGAGGGGACGAGGGCAATGCAGGATTGAATACCCTGGAATGATGCGCTCAGGAGGCGGTGTATGGGGACCCTGGCTTTCATCGTTTGCGTGCTCGCCTGTTTCGGCAGTATCGCTCTCGTATGGGTCTTGCCGTCCTCCTCGCAGGGGCCTTGCGCTACTGCTCTTTGTCCTGATCCTTGTTCCCCTGCTTGTCGTGCATGCCGTCGCTTACGTGGTTGGAGTGCCGGTTTTCGCTGCCTCCTTCGTTTCCTAGTATTTTATTGAGGCGGGTTTGTTGGCTCTATCCTCCCCCTCCTTTGTTTGCTTCGGTTTGTCCTTCTTTTTCAGTCAAATAAAGGAATGGCATGATGCCGGCGGCAGGTCAAAGGAGGAACACCCGCTGGAAGAGCCGCCATCCTCTTCATCCTGCTCCTGCTGCTCCTGCCGCTCCTGCCGCTCCTGCCGCTCCTGCTCCCGATCCTGCTCCTGCTCCTCTCGCTCCTTCTTCTGAGCTTGCTTCCCACGCTCCTTCTGCTCCACTTGTTTATACCCTGCCTTCATGTATGACTCTGTCGCGCTTCTCGGCGAGATTTCAAACAGACACCATAGTCTTGTTTCGTCTCACATCCTCCTCCGATTTAGCGCAGAGCTCAGAAATGTACCAGGATGCTACTGAGAGCAGTGTTGCGGGGAGTTGTGTGGTATGGTAGCCATGTTGGAGACGGAATGAAACAGCGAGTGAGGGAACAGAGTTAGAGAGTATGCAGAGACCTTCAGGGGGTAGAGGACAAGCATGAAAGACTGTTTTGACATCTTATAGCGATTTTCAATAAGATTGTCTGGTCCCCAGAGCCACACAGTTGAGTACCACCAGCAACGCGCAGGTAGTAGTGACATACGGTACTCCTAGCGTTGTTGCCAGCTGACAGCAGCAAGTGTCTTGTAGAGCTTCATGGTACAAAGAAAATTCATTAAAATAAATTTGTTGATGGGTACCTCGCTGGGGTTGAAAAACGCCCCTCTCTAATGCAGCACGGGCAGTGGAGGAACGTAGGAGGAGTCTTCGAAGCTGAAACGTATAATACAGCACTCTCATTCATGTGAATAAGAGGGAGAGAGCAAGAATAATCACTTCACTCGCTTCGCACCGTCGATGCGGAAAAAGGGATTGGGCGCAGCAAAATCCTGGATTACAGAATCAAATACTCGGAGCCATCTGAAGCCTGATCGCTGCTCCCGATGACCGTGGACTTCACGTGATAATTGTCATCAACGCATTGCTTCCTTGAGTTGATGCACCGATGACACGGCCTGCCGTCCTCGCACTTCTGCTTCTTCATCCTGCAGCCGACGCAGGCTTGCCTGCTGTACTTCATTGGCCTTCCGCCCCTCTTTCGCCTTGGAGGTCTTGACGCGATCTGAGCAATTTCTTGGCTTGCTGCAGGAAGAAAACCTGACGTGCTGTCCTCGAGCTGAAAGACGTTGAAGGACTCTTGACACTCGTTGAAGCTCAGCGGCTCCTGTTCAAAGAAGGACAGGAGGTCGTTTGGGTTCAAGTCGATGAGCGCGATGGCGTCGTCGAGGGAGAGGACCGGAGAGTTCATTGGTTCGCTGTTCATCATGGCCGAACAGTGGAGGAGGTCAAGGAAGCAGCACGTGGAGCGAGGGAGGAAGGGGGAGGATAGACAGAGGAGGGGAATATAGGGAATTCGGTACTGCGTGTCGGGGGAGAGGGGGCTTCCGAAACGGTGCGATTTCAAGGCTGAATGACTAGTCTATCCCGCGGCACGCAGTACCGGGTCAGACCGGCGAAGGAGGCACAAGGGCAGCGGCTGCAGGGTGCTAGTAGGAACTACGGTAGACTCTGCTGCTGCCCAATGTCCAAACCCTATGAAAACTCCTGAGGCTGGCCGGTCTGATCATCGGTCTGGCACGGTCGTGAGGGTTCCGAGCCTGTCCGGTCCGACCGTCTGTAGTATCCACATTTGCTATATGACTTATGATATCCAACTTGAGCCGTCAAGGGCCCGCCGCACCGAGCTCAGGCCGTGAAGTTGAAAGTTGGACAGTGCCGCCGCTGGGGCTGCGTGATCGGCTGCCCGGAAGTGACAGGAAGCGACGGTTCGGTACTGTCACACGCAGTGCGGGGCACGGCGTACCGAACTCGGAAACTCACTTTCGTTTACTTAAAGTTAAGTTTTACACGTTTGGAAGTTCACGGTTGTGCCGGACGGTGGCGGCCGCGCACCGCCCGGTCAACCCGGTCAACAGGCACGCGGCCTGCGTACTGACCGAGGCTGAATTCCGAGTTCATTCCGAAGTTCCACTTTACTGACCTCCGAGCCTGAGTGGCTTCTTTACTCAAAGTTAAGTTAAAAATCAGTACGGGGACAGTGGCTAGCCTGTAGCCTGAATTCCGAGTCCGAGTTTACTCAATCGGCCACCGTGACGGCCGCGTGAGTCTGCCGGGCGGCCGTCCGACGGGACTGAACTTAACTTTGAGTAAACTGACTGAGCCGCTACCACACGCCCCCCGGGCCCCGGGCCGTTTGTCCTTACAAAGTTTACTCAAAGGTAAGTTAAAATAAAGTAGTACAAGGTGTTCCTCTGACACGAAGTACCGGGCGCCAATAGCCCCGCTTTTCGCAAAAAGTCTTTTTAGTGGTCACTGCACGGAGCTCCTTTCAGTGGTCACTTATTGCCACCCCCACCCTCCGAACCGTATGGGAAAACCACGGGTCCGAGTGCCGCTTTTACAAGTTAGGGCACGTTCAGTACGCGTAAAGGTACACTTTACAATTACTAGTAGGAGGCTGGTAAACAATGAACTTGTGCCGCTACAGACTGAAGTTTTGAGAGGCTAGGATGAAGTTTTGAGAGGCTTGTCAACATTCCCCCGCCTAAGGTTCACTTCTGGGGCTCTTACAGCCCCGGACCTGTCGGAACTTTGTATGGGGTACATGAACTTTGGAGGGGATTTCGGAACTATTGAGAGGCCAACGGAACATTATTAGCCTTACTGGCCCCGTCGTAAACTTGTAATCCGTTTACTTCCGAGCACTTTCTACCTAAATGTGTTCACTTTTATCCTAATTTCTACAACTTCGGATCTAAAATCAATAAATATTGCTACTTTCAGGTTATTGTACCAGTTCGGCAGTTGCCGTAAAAAAAAGGACAAAAATCCCGTCTCCACCGGCCGTCTTCCATCCTCCGTACCCTCCCACACACACCCGCACTCTCTTCATACCTGTCCTTACCCTCTTCTCTTCCAATCACCCTGTAGATAGAACTCGATCGCACTTTCTGTCGACGTTGGTCAAAATACTAACCAGCCAGCACTCCTTGTCTTCTTATCCTGTCATCCTATGGTTTCACTCCCCATGATTTGGGAAACCATTGATTTCCTCGAGCAACCTTCCATCCTTCCTATTGACGAAGCCATAGCTCAGATCGAAGTAAATCACGACGATCTCCTGGCCTTTATGCAGCAGGAGGCAACAAATCTCGACCAGCAGGCACCCCTCTGTCTCCTTTCGGGACCTATTGTTTCCAAGCCACGGCTAAAGTCAAGGGGGAGGCCGATGAAGTACAGCAGGCAAGCTTGCGTCGGCTGCAGGATGAAGAAGCAGAAGTGCGAGGATGGCAGGCCGTGTCATCGGTGCATCAACTCGTTGAAGCAATGCCAAGATCAGTGAGTGAGAGTGAGTGAGAAAGTACCCGAGATGGAGACAAGAAGCATCTGAAATAAGATTTAAACCTAGCACATACATCACTTAACAGCAAATGCTCTGAAACAACAATTGCGCTGTTTGTGCATTCAGTAAATAGCGCAATAGTTCATGCATACATAAATTAATGAATAGAAGGCATAAAGGGAAGGTTTGATCAGAGATCTTGATGGAAATGCTCAGTTGTACAAAAATGAATCATAAGTGCTCTGACTTTATCTCCTCCTTGTTACTCTGTCACTTGAAATCACAACACAAGCTCCGTTCACGTTTGTTCGTAAACAGCGTGAATACTCGTGTGAGCATTATTATTGTGTCACATCTCAACGCCTTGCGAGCAAAAGTCTGCACAGAAAGCTCAAGGCTCCGCCGCTGACTGATAGCACCTGGAGCCAGATGTGTCCATGGAATGAGGTGAACTGAGAAAATGTATAGACGGCATTGATTGAATTCGCGTTCAAAGATAATGGGCATTCCGTGGAGTGAAAAGGAATCTTGATCAAGCAGTGGCAAGTGGCAAATCAACATTTAATTGCTAGGTAATTTTTCTGACCCTCCATATCCCTGTACATTCCCGCTACATCTCTTCTTTCCTTTTTTCTCCTCCCTGATAGGATACCATCTAAACTCTTACTTGCATCACCGCAAGAACTTCATTCAGAAGCATCATACAACCGCGGATGAACTTCATTCAGAAGCATCATACAACCCGCGGATGAACTTCATTCAGAAGCTTCATACAACCCGCGGATCAGACAGACAGCAAGAAAAATGCTGCAGCCATTCCCACTTAGCAGGATGCGAAGATGGCAGAAACCAAGCGACATGCTTCCTATCAGCTTGTTTGCTTGCCGACTAGGGATCTGAGCTCGGCGAGTCTTTCAAGAGCTCTTGATCCGGATGACATACCCCAGGTATTCCTGAAAGGCCCTTATCAGTAACACTCCAGCAATTCTCAGCTCCATTCTGTCACCTGGTCCGGCTCGTAATATGCGAAGAGCTCGTGCAAACTCGGGTTGCAATGGAGAAGTTGCGAGGAGAACTCGAAGCCTCTGCGCTCCAGTTTCTCCTTGAAGGATACCGTCCCCTTGCGATGCTTCAGTGGCGTGATGATGACAACGTTTCCTCCTCTTGGCAGCGCGTATGGCAGTACCCCCAAGATCAGGTCGGCCATTTCTTCCTCATAGATGATGTCTGCAGCTACCACAGAGCTGAACCCTTGAGCCTTCAGCAGCTTGCTCACGCGTGGCTTCGCCACCTCAGCCCAGTCCAGATCCAGCACCTTGCACGTCCTCTCAACCTGATTCACTTCCACATTCTCCTGCATCCTCGCCAACAGCGCGGGTTCCCTGTCACTCACTACCACCTTGTGTCCCTGTTTGGCTAAGGCAATCCCGACGACTCCCAGCCCAGCTCCCAGCTCCAAGATGGGTCCTTCTCCTAGCAGAAGCGCTCCAGCTATCGAAGAGAGCCATCGGATCAGAAGGAGCGAGCTTGCCCATATCCTCCCGCCTGTCAGGTGAGCCCCTCCAAAGTCGAACGAGCTCATCTTCTTCTCTACCCCGTAGATCTTCAGCTTGCTCAGCTTCTCCTTGGGATTCCTCACCCACACTTCGTAGAGCGCGGCCCAGCCCGACCAGTTGCTCACGCTCTCCCCGTAGCCGTTTGGATCTATATGCTCGTAGCACAACTGCTCGATTCGCGAGATGCACGCCCGGTCTTCGTCGGAGGGCTTGACGCCGACATCGAGAGGAAGCTCCTTGTATCGGTTGAGGTGATGGCAAGCCTCCTCCGACACACTCACCAAGGCGTCCAGGTACTTGAGGATTGCGCTCTGAATCTCACCTTCCTCATTCCTCCTGAGCGACTCTACGAGACTGATCGCAAGCCCGCAAGAGGTCAGGTGAGATGCTTGTTCCGCCTCCAGAGGCCATGGCAGATCTCTTGGCTCAAAGCAAGGATTGATCGTCACGTCTGTCCGAAGCTCATCTGCTTTGCCGGCCTCAATCACCACGACCCTCACTCCATGCTTTGTCGGTGGCTGGACAGTACTAGGATGGCGAACGTGCTTGAGCCATTCAGTTGGCGACTTTTCCCACTTTCCTCGCAAGAGAACCATAACAAGATATAACCAGTCAAAGCATTGCTTGACACATGATTCTGCAATGGCATGTTAAACGTATCACATTACATACAAAGCCACGAGGCATCTGTTAGTATCGTCTAGACAACCATCAAGATCGATTCAAGGAGGCAAAGGAACCGATCACTGATGACATGATATCGCAGTGATGCTCTAGCATATTAGAGATTCTGGACTTCTTGTGTCTCATCGAGACTAACCAATCAATACAAGCAAATTAGCTGTCTGTCGTGTTCATGGCTTGATTTCCTGTAAGCAGTCTTGTGCATACTATTCTCCACTTTCATCGATCTAGTGAGTATCTGATTTCATCTCCTTTCTTCTCTTCATCTCATCTCTGTTCCTAGTTTCGTTTGATTTTCTCTCCTTCCTCTCTCCTCGTCCTCCCCAGAACAACGTGCCGCATGCTTTCCATAAGATTGCGATCTGAAGTTTTACAGGGGTGGGTGCTCAAAGATCATATAGTAACACCCCTACCTTTAATAGTTCAAAGTAGGGGTGTATTTTTATCTGGACCGGTACTCCTTCCCGACTGGGGGAGCAGACTGGGGGAGCAATTCTCAATCAGTGGTATTGAATCCTGAAAATACTTTCATAACTATAGAGATAATTTCAAATATGAGACATAAGTTCGGTGGAATAGTTTTGAAATTGTGCTATGATAGGAAAGCTTGGTTAGGGGGCACATTTTCCTATGACCATCCTAGGGCTAACTGAGACTTTCTGTGACCGGGTCGGTGAGTGGACTCCGATCCGGCCCGCGTCACTGAACTATAAGTATTTTTAAAATTTTGTACCACACTGAGGTTCCTAGCCCCCCCCCTATGACTTTCCTAACCCTTATGCAAGTAGACCCTCAGGTCTTACCAGGATAATTCCCCCTACTAATTTCATGGTATGCTAGGGCCGTAGGATCCTATGTCCCCCTAGGTCCCGGCCATGGCTGGGTGCACATGCTAGGCAGTGGAGATGGCAGGGAGCTTAACTAGTTCGTTGCATGCGCAAGTCATGATGTTCCTCGCCATGCTGTCTATAATTGTTTCCTGCCTCCTCACTGCCTCGCCTGACTGATGTACTGCTCGTCTTGACCCATCTGACATGGTTGTAAGCCACGGTTGTAATAGCTCCATATTTCCCCATAACGTAGATGCTGAACAAAGAGCAAAATTCATAACTTCTCTTCCTATTCAATTTTCCTGATACTCTGGTTACTTTCTTTCCTCATAATCTTGAGAGACAGGAGGCTGATCACAGCGTGAGCTCGTTTGCAAGTCTGATAGTCTTGTTGCAGGTTTGAATGGAGAAATCTTGATTCCCTCTTCGTCTTTGTTCGGCATGCATTGAAGCTGCCTGAAGGAGCAACTCGCACACGCGATGATCGACGACGTCGACGATTGGATTTCTAACATGAGCGAGGCCCTGGAGAATTTTGACTCTCTGGACAATGAACACCACAAGGCAGAGTCGGCACATGTCTCACCTGACCACGCGTCCAAGAATCAGGTTGAGACTGTCTTCCTCAGGAGGTTCTGCGAAGTGATCGAGTCTTGCGACTCCTTGGTGCCTGATCTGGAGATCAAGGGATACTGCGTCTTGGACGATGCGTTCCAGCCGGAATTCCTCCGACACATCGTTGACGAGATCGACATGCTCCGGGACTGCTGCACGATGGAGGCTTCGCCCAACATGCTCAAGGGGAGGGATGGGGAGGACTTGGTCTTGATCAAGGAGGGTGTGCTGGAGAAGAGCATCGTGGTTCAGGACGAGCTGATCATGGGGGAGGGGGCGTTGAGCTTCATTCCAAACCTCAGACGCCTCTGCGAGTGCAGGTCACAGATGGTGTCGGTGCTGCAGTCAAAGGGGGGCATCCTCTCCAACGTAACAGCTCTGGATCAAGCAAAGGTGACTTACATCAGCAAGAATGGCGCCTTTCCTGTACATGTCGACGCGCACCCTGTTTATGATCGCATGCTCACCATCACGCTCTATCTGAACGAAGGATACCAGGATGAAGATGCCGGAGAGTTGCGCTTATTCCCTTTGCCATACCAGCCATTTGATGTGAAACCCAAGTTTGGACGGATCGTTTTGTTCTCTTCCATTCACATGTACCATAGAGTCATGCCCAGTCAAGGGGAAGGCAGATACACCCTGGCTCTGTGGTTCACTGGAACAGACAATTCGTTTCCCAAGTGCTGCTTCGATCCTACAGATCCTCGTTCAGAAGGTTTTGAGCAGCACGTCTTTGCAAACCGAGACTCTCTTCCTTTTCTGGTCTATTATGAAGAATGCAAGAGATCGATCTTGGAGTCTTTTGACGGCAACGACCAGGACAAGCTTGAAAGCGCCCTGGCAGCTTTTGAGAAGAAAGTTGAGGACTACAAAAGAAGGCTTGGCGACTCTCTGTTGAAGCAGCTTGAAGAGTTTCCACTCTTGCACAAATTGGGATGAACTTGGGGGTCACGGTCGATGGGGCAAGTTGCGTATTTGTGATAATATTCTTTTCTTAGATACTCAAGTTACAATGACATGACCGTACTGTATGGTCTGCCTGAACGTACACGTCCGCGCCCGGCGATCGGAAGCCTGTGAGCCCTGCGGCCCCGGGCGCCGCCGCGGCGCGCGCCGGGCCCGGCCGGGCGTCCCCCCGATCGGACGGTCCCGCGGTTTCTGCAGTGCGGAACTGCGGCAAGCCCGCCACCGTGACTCTGAGAGCACTGCACTGCCACCGCAAGATCAACGGTTCTCAGTCTCCGACCCGCGCCCGCCGGTCCACCGTGGCACCGGGCCGGCCCGGGACCGGGCTGCCCGGCGCCGGTTCAGCCACAGTGGCACTGAGTGCTATCAAAGTTTACTCAACTTTACCTCTATCACCGAGAACTCCCCGAGGTTGCCGTCGTTGTACCCCGCATCCGTTCCCTCCCCTCCCCCCCCCCCCCCCTCCTGCTCCTGTACTGCTACTCCTCCTTCCCTCCTCCTCGTGCTGAATCCCCCCGAAAGCCCTCTTCTCTGTCAATACTCCAGATCAAATCCGTCCATAAGGTGTGCTTTGCCTCAACCACCCTTCACTCATGACTCTTCTTGCTCCTCATCTTCTTATCGCAATGCACACTTCTATAAGCGCTCTCCTCTACTTCATCATCATCATCGTTGCATGACACTTCTCTCTCTGCACTTCCTTCTGGAAGGGGACAAATAGTCGATTGTTTCACTCCCGACCGATCCCTCCCCCTCGCACCCCATCCGTTCAAATCTCTTGCTTTGAGCGGGTCCTCCCTCCTTCCCTCTCCTTCTAGCAGCATCTTCCAGGTAGTCCGGCTGACAGTCATATTACAGCTCTGTCTCCCTACACACAGCAACCTAAGTCCTGTCCCTTTCCTTCTTGGCCGATACATGCCAACTCAGCACTACCCCGTCCCCAAGTTTTACGCATCGGGGACAGGGAGAGATCTGTACCTTGATCCAAGGAATGGCCAGGTGAAACATTTCGACAGAAGTCTCCAACTCCCTCTCATGTTACATATACAGGGCTCGCAGGACGACGGAGCGCTCAAACGAGCTCATCGCCGGACCATCCGGTACTTGTGGAGCGACTTGCGATAAGAGCTCTCTCGTGACATTGTGAGCAGCTTCAGGGACTTTGACAGCGACGCTGAAGTCAGCCTGCGATGGTGGAGTCATCTGCCAGCGTAAGTAGTCGAGGAGCAACAAGCTGGTTTTTCTTGATCAACATCCAGGGGAGGAGAATTCAAGTCAAGAATTCAGAGGGAGCGTGCTATGGCGAGCAGGTGGAGGAGGTGCGGCTTCATTGTGTGGTTGACATGCTACCTCCACCAGGCTCTCTTCGATCCATCCCGGCTCCAAGTCTAAGTCGAGGACAAGGCTAACTTCTAGTTTGAACCTAACCATGGAAGAAAGGGTACGACATACCTCTCTTTCCCACACGTTCAGCCGTCTTCTGATCCTGTTGAAAGCTGGCCCTCGAGAAGTTCAATCCGTTCAGCCCTCATCAAAGAACGATCAGAGATTTCTCGGTGCTTGCTGCTTCGCTTGTAACCCGACCCAGTTAGCTGTCCTGACCACCTGAACTCTCAGGCACTTTATGGCAAAGACAGGAATCCAAACAGGTTTGAACCAAGTCGCATGCTTGCGCATGGTGGATTCACGAGTATAATCTTATGAATGCCATGATGATGTCAATAAACGCCTCCCGGCACTCTAGTCCAGACTGAGACTGAACAACTTCTGCCGGTCGGCCATGTTCAGTTACGGTCAGTGTGACTGGGCTGAGCCCGGGGGAGCAGTCCGACAGTGCCCCCCATCCCCCCGGACTCGGAGCCGGGGGCGCCTGCGTTGCACGGACCGGCGGCCCGGGCCGCCGACGTGACTCTGAATCAGCAGTGCCGCATGATTCCGTTTGCCGCAGTGCTGAGCCTCCGAGAGTCAGTCACACGGTGACGGTCACCGGTGCTATGTGACACCCGGCACATAGGGGCACCAGACGGGGTTGCCCCCGTCAACTCCGGGAGTCCGTCCGGCGTCAGTCTACCCGCGGCCCCCGCGATTGGCCGGGCCGGCGGCGGGAGCCGCCCCGGGAACGTTGTTCTTTATTGACTCAGAAAAAGAAGGCCCCGGCAAACCGGAGTGAAACGGGAAACTGAGGGGGAGGATAAAGCCTACAACCCCGCCTCAAGAAAACACTAGGAAACGAAGGAGGCAGCGAAAACTGCTACTCCAACCACGCAAGCGACGGCATGCACGACAAGCAGGGGAACAAGGATCGGGGGGACAGTTCGGCGATCCGAACTTCTCCGGAACGAGAACTTTCACTCGCTACTTTGATATTCGGGCTTGACTCAGAGAATTTCCAATAGGTCTTGATAAGACAGCAATGTTTGACTAAGTGATTTTGTTCCTGCCTTTTATAAAATGGGAAATGCGGCCAGAGTTCTTTTAGACAAGAATGCTGCTGCTGCTGCTGCTGTCGCTGCTGTTGCTGTTGTTGCTGCTGTTCTTCCTCCTCTACTTTCTCCTGCTCCTGCTCCTGCTCCTGCTCCTGCTCCTGCTCCTGCTCCTGCTCCTGCTCCTGCTCCTGCTCCTGCTCCTGCTCCTGATCTCCAGAAGTTCGATCTGAGAAGGCTCCTCCTCTACCGACCGAGAAGCCATCGAACATAGCGTACAGTAAAGGAAGTAGACGAGTTGAACAGTAGATAGAACCAGCCTGTCACAGGTAGGATCATTCCCTACTTTCGTTCTGACTATGTACCTCCGCAGATGCAACTTCTCTCGCTTTCTCTTTCGCTTTCTTGCTCTCTTACCATCGTGTTGGCCCTGGTCGGGCTGGTCCAGTGCCAGTCAATCGATCCGGGCAGAGCAGAGAAGTTCTTCCATGAAGGGCACGCGTTACATTCTAGGGCCAACAGCCATGCTGATGCTGCTGCGTTTGAAGGCAAGTGAGCGAGCGGGAAAGGAGCATGAACAGATGAATAATCTCCTGTCTTCACTCCTCTTGTTCCTGCTTGCGCTTCTTATTCCAGTCTGATCCTCATGTTTGAGGACAGAAGCGATTATCAACTACAAGCAAGCGCTTGATAGCATGGGAGGACAACATGCGGCGACACAGTATTACCTTGGAACATGTCAGCTCGATTCAGGTGAGAAGGTCTCATCCTGCATTGATCGCTGTAGCTCATTCAGTGCTTCTGAGATGATTCGGATCAGGAAAGTTTGAAGAAGGCGTGAAGAACGTAGCTGCTGCATTGAAAGCTGAGCCAGACACGTTTGGTCCTGAGGCATTCCAAAGGCTCACAGCAGGTCTGATTTTCATGGTTGAGCCCTGTGCAAGTTCGACAAAATTGTAGAGGTTCAAACACAACAGTAGATGCTCTCTGGATGTGATTTTGAAGTGTTGGAATGATAGGGCAATGATTTGTAATCATGTCTTCCGCATGTTTAGATGTTGAGATGATTCTATTTGTTGGGTTTGCGTTGTGTCGTGATTCAGTAGTGACTGTTTCATTTGTCAGGTCAACAATCTGTCGACATGATATGCAGGTTGATCCATGTTCAACCGCCTCATCCCTGATTGCATTGCGGGTGATCGTGAACAGAGAGGCATCAGAACAACCTCCCTCATCTGCAGACGACCGGCTAGTCAGACAGGAGCCTCGTGCCCTAGTCACGGCATGGGACGACGTGTTTGATCGCGGCTTCCTGCCCACTCTGACAGCTGCTGCAACTGCATTGCAAAGAGAACAGCATAAGGAGAACGCCCCTCGGACGTGAGCAACTGATCTCCTCCTCCTACTTCTGCTCATGTCTTGCAGGCTATGGTTCCCTGCTGAAGACATCTTGAAGGTCGGACGGAAGTTCGAAGAGCCGAATGAGAGGGTTCAAGCGATGAAAGAGCATCCATTACATGTCGCCGTGTATCACCTGTACAAACTCCTCTCTCAGACAGAAGGTGCGATGGGACTTGACGAGCACAACAGAGAGAGAGAGGAGGAGCCGGCAGAGGACGGGAAGGCAGATGGAGAAGGAGAGGGAGGAGAGGGAGGAGAGAAGAGAGAGGAGTGGGGAGGAAGGCTGAGAGCCACAAGGCGTGTAACGGGCGTGTTTAGATTCAAACCGGGAGATTCCTGGAGGGGCTGCGAGTTGTGGGTACGGAGGCGAGGTGGGTCTTGTTCCTGCTGCTGCTGCTGCTGCTGCTG